TGTCTCAAATAATAATAATAATGATGATATGATAAAAGGTGCTGTTCATCAGGAGATAATGGTCCAGGCCATGGCTATGACGGTTACTGATGGGGGAATATGTGAATTTCCTCCGTGTAAAATGCCTGGGCAGGAAGGCTCATTTCCGGGCATCTTTCCGGGCTCCCCCCCTCCTCAAGAGCACCTCGGTTTTTGCAGTGCGGCTAAAGAAGGAAGAGAAGAGCCGGCAGGAGCTGGAGAAGCTGAAACGGAAGCTGGAGGGTGATGCCAGCGACTACCACGAGCAGATCGCTGACCTCCAGGCACAGATCGCAGAGCTCAAGATGCAACTGGCTAAGAAGGAGGAGGAGCTGCAGGCGGCCCTGGCCAGGTAGCGGGGCTAGCAAGGGGCATTTGCTGTGTGTCCGTGTGTCCCGTGGGCCCCCGCTCATTCGCAGTGGCTGTCTTGGTCAAGGTGGCCCCAGGCCCTTGGCATGAACTTTGTTTTCCAGGCCAGGCCAGGCCTCCCACGAGCCTCCCTGACCCCGTTCACTCCCCCAGATCCTCACCTTCGACTTGCTTCTCTCCCCTGCAAACACATAGTCTCTTTGCAGTTGATCTCAGCTACTCCTGCGGTGTTGCTGCCGCCGCTTCGACATACAGGCTTTTCTCATCTAGACCCCAGTTCTGAATTTCCATTGCCCAGTGAGTCAGTTTCCATGAGCGTCTCAAACACCCCATGTCTAAGGCGGGAATGACCTTCCTTTCCCCAGCCCCTCCCTCTAAGGGCCCTCCTTTTTGCGAACACCAATCTCCTCCTTTGCTCTTGCTCACCCACAGCGAGCAGCGACCTTCGGATTCTGCCAGTCCTTCTAAATGTGCCCCCACCCGTTTCCTCTGGTTTTTCCCTCTTCCTGGCTCTTAGCTGGCTTTACACTAATGCTGATACTGCAGCAGCCACTGTGAATGATTATTTACCTGCTCACTCTGTACTAAGTTCTTTTCAAGCAATACCTTTGCAGACACCTGGCCAGGTGTACTGCCGGTGTCTTTGAGGAGGAAGCTGAGCCTCCTAGGGGTAACAGAACAGGAGCAATGTCATTGCTTGTAAGAGGCAGAGCTGGGATTTAAGCCTCAGAGCTTTCTGATTGATCCCCTGGTCCGGCTCTTTTGTCGTCCAACTTGTGCTGCATTGACAGTGCTAGGGTGATGAAGAGACAACATCCCTCTGGGGCACGAACCTGCTCACAAAACTTTGCTGGCTGGATGCAGAGGCTCACGCCTGTAATCTCAGCACTTTGGGAAGCCAAGGTGGGAGGACTGCTTGAGGCCAGCAGTTTGAGACCAACATGGGCAACAAAGCAAGACCCCATCTCTACAAAAAGTTAAAAAATGAGCCAGGCATGGTAGTGTGTGCCTGTAGTCCCAGCTACTCAGGAGGCTGAGTTGGGAGGATCGCTTGAGCCCAGGAGGTTGAGACTAAAGTGAGCTATGATCATGCCACTGCACTCCAGCCTGGGCAACAGAGCAAGACCCTGTCTCAAAACAACAATAACAACAACAAAACAAAAACCTAACTTCACTGGCTTATTAGGGAAAAGCCAGTTTCCTTAGCCTCACCCTCAGAGCCCACCCACCCTCTGCAGTCTCACCCCAACCCAACTATTTCACTTTCTCTCTTGTTGCTGCCCATTCAAGTACAGTAAAATCAAAGTGCTTGCCTCTCCTGCAGCGTTCTGCCATTTAACAGTGCTTCTTGCAGCCCACCTTGATCTGTGGTCACCACCTCCACCAGATGCAGAGCCCCAGTCTGAATATCTCCCGTAAGCAGTGGCTGGCCAAGTGCTGTGTGTGGGGTGGGTACTCAGTCACTGAGGAAATGCAGAAAGAACAGACAGTTGCCAGGGAAGAATAACTGTCCAACATTCAGAAAGCATCTACACAGTCCCTACTGTGACCAGGTACCTTGACAGTCTGGGGCCAATGCTTTGCATTCTTGCACACACATGCACACACGTGCATACACACGTACACACACCCATGCACATATACAATCTGTTTTGATGTCAGACCTCGGCACTCAGGTCCTGTGTTAACCTCAGGTAGTCTGGCATATCACGCAGCAGTCCTGGGGACATGGATAGAAGGTGTTTGATGTCTCTGCAACATAAGTGTTTGGTCCCAGAAAACAATTTTTGGCCACATTGTAAGACAGGAAACCAAGGGCGCTGGGGGTTCATGCTGGTGGGTCTGTCCCTGAAAGGCTTGACGATGAAATCGCTCAGAAGAACAATGCCCTAAAGAAGATCCGGGAGCTGGAGGGCCACATCTCAGACCTCCAGGAGGACCTGGACTCGGAGCGGGCCGCCAGGAACAAGGCTGAAAAGCAGAAGCGAGACCTGGGCGAGGAGCTGGAGGCCCTGAAGACAGAGCTGGAAGACACGCTGGACAGCACGGCCACTCAGCAGGAGCTCAGGTGAGGACCC